GGGTTAGAGCGATGTAGTAGTTTGAAGCTATATATGTGGAATCGAACGTTGGCTACATAAAGTTGAGTACGAGTTAGTAACGCTTTTTGCTCAACGTGGCGGGAGAAGGGTTGGCTCAGTTTATTTTCATGAACGAGAAGTTTGATGCTTCCCTTGCCACCATTGGGCGAATAGGTTTTTTAAGGGGCCATTGTGAGGTTTTTAAAAAAAATTCGGTTTCATCGAGTGTTGTGTATCATGCCCCGTGGACAAGGTTCTATGAGCAAGTTGCGTGCGATACAATCGGCTTTCCAACACGGGTCCGTTGTGTTGTGTGGGAAAATATTATAGTTACTTGTACGATCAGACGAATAAGCGAGCCGTCTAAAAGCTAGACGCTTGGTGCGAACGACTTGTAGTTAACTGGTTGATCCTGTTGGTGTCATATGCTTGTCACCGAATAACTCTGTGAACGCAACAAACCAAAAAGGGAGGTGCATGCCACGGCGTCCTTAAATGGGTGGAAGGGCACATCGATCAGGAAGTTGAAATATCACTTCATTTCGCTATTGCATGGCCTCTCGAGTTTCGTTTTGATAAACTATTGTCGTTTAACTTTGTTTTTTCAAAAAAAGGTACTGTGATGGATAACTTGTAACGATGGATCTCTTGTCTCGTGCATCGATGACGAATACAGCTGGCTGCAATACAACAGCGATCAAAATCTAAATTTTCCAGAGCTAAATCCTTTGCAGACAACTTAAATAAAGAACCGGGGCATTGCAAGGAGTAGAGTAGCCTTGTTGCTACGGTCTGCTGGAATTAAACCCTTGTTCTAAGATTTTTGTTGCATCTTTCTTTTTTACAGAGTGATTTGTACAGTCGCCTTACTTATTAGTTATGCGAGGGAATACACGTGCACCCCGCCGTAAAGACTTTAATAAGTATGAATTGGTACGACTACACTCCTTTTCAACTCCAAACAACCAAACATCCTCCTGACCCACTCGAGACTTCGTACGGCTGGGTCAGAGGATGTTGCATTACCAGAGTCTAGGTCGGAGGATGTTGCATTAACAGAGAGTCTAGATCGGATGATGTTGCTGCGGTTAAAGCGATGGAGTAGTTTGAAGCTATATATGTGGAATGTTGGCTTCATAAACTTGAGTACGAGCGAGTAACGCTTTTTGGTAGCGGAAGGGTTGGCTCAGTTTCTTTTCATGAACGAGAAGTTTGATGCTTCCTTTCTCCAACCATTGTGGGCGAATAGGTTTAAGGGGACTTTGTTAGGTTTTTTAAAAAATTCTCGGTTTCATCAAATGTTGTTGTATCATGTCGCTTGGACAAGGTTTCTAAGCAAGATGAGAAGAATGTATAGTGTGGCGCTTAGTGCTACTCGACTATCTGCGCGCGTGCGATACAATCGGCCTTTCTAACACAGGTCGCTTGTGCGGTGTGCAAAAGAGCACGATGAAAGACGTGTGGCAAAAAAAATTATGGTTAGCTGTACGAGCGAACGAACAAGCGGCTCGTTTAAAAGCAAGATGCTTGGTGCGAACGACTTATAAGGTTACTACTGGTTGATTTGTCTTCGAATAACTCTGTGAACGTAACAAACCAAATGGAAGGAGGATGCCAAAGTGTCCTTATAATGGAAGGACGGGCACATCAATCAGGAAGTTGAAAGATCACTTCATTTCGCCAATGCCCGGCCTCTCGAGTTTCTTTTTTTGTAAACTTATTGTCGTTTAACTTTGTTGTTTCAAAAAAATTACTATAATGGATAACTTTTCACAATGGATCTCGTGCATCGATGACTATGCAGCTAAGCACTACAGAAATCTAAATTTTCCAGAGCCCAAATCCTTTGCGGACGACTTAAATAAACAACGGGTTATCGTAAGTAGTAGAATTATAGTAGAGTATCCATGTTGCTATGATCTGCTGAGATTAAGCCCGTGTTCTAAGATTTGTTGCATCTTTCTTTTTTATAGAATGATTTAATTAAACATCCTCCTTACTTGCTACAAGCATGCTGAGGGCACATCTTGTTGAGGAGTTGTTGGAACAGCATTGTTACAACTTGTTAACAAGCTTGCTACAAGCCTGTTGAGAACACATCATGTTGACAAAGTTGTTGGAATAGCATTGTCACAACTCGTTAACAAGCTTGCTACATTATCCATACCTGTGTTAAAAGCGGCTTTCTGATTTGTTTAGAGCAGGTGAGCTTCTCGTCGAGCTCACCTGCTTTTTGTCCGAACTCGCCTACTCTTCGTTGAACTCACCCACGAAACTGCTGACGTTGCAATAACAATAACAAATATGGCGGACAAGATTATTTAGCCGATAAACCTAGACTTTAAAGAACTTTTTTCGCTTACTAAACCTACTGGGACTGAAGAAAAACCAAAGAAAAAATGCAATCAAGGTAATCTAGACGTAGATAAAGAAGTATTAATAGTCCAGTGATTTCTTTGGCCAGGAGAAGGTTGACAAAACATCGACGAATATATTGCGAAGAGCTACAATGTGTGTATGGCTCCGGTGTATGGGATAGAAACCAAACATACTTGCAGATTACGGGGTATCGTAAGTAGTAGAATAGTAGAGTATCCATGTTGCTACGATCTGCTGAAATTAAGCCCTTGTACTAAGATTTGTTGCATCTTTCTTTTTTTTAGAATGATTTGAACATCCTCCTTACTTATTAGTTATGCGAGGGAATACACGTGTAGCCGGCCGTAAAGACCTTGTTAAGTATGAATTGTACGACTGTACTCCTTTTCAACTCCAAACAACCAAACATCCTCCTTACTCACTCACTCGAGACTTGATACGCCTGGGTCGGAGGATGTTGCATTACCAGAGAGTCTAGGTCGGAGGATGTTGCATTAACAGAGAGTCTAGGTCGCAGGATGTTGCGCCGGTTAAAGCGATGGAGTAGTTTGAAGCTACGTATGTGGAACGTCGCTTTATGAACTTGAGTAAGAGTTAGCAACGCTTTTAGCTCGACGTGGTGGGGGAATGATTGGCTCAGTTTCTTTTTACGAACGAGAAGTTTGATGTTTCCTTTGCCACCATTGGGCATATAGGTTTTAAGGGGGCTTTGTTAGTTGTTTTTTTAAAGCGTTGTTTGGCCTCTCGAGTTTCTTTTTTTGTAAACTATTGTCGTTTAACTTTGTTTCAAAAAAGTTACTATAAGAGGATAACTTTTAACGGTCGATCTCGTGCATCGAGGAACGCAGTCAGGTGCAAAATGTATAGTGTGAATTACAGGATTTACTTACCATCTGTTGATTATGATTGAACGCCTCTAAATCAGAATTCGTCCTAGAACGCAACGATTCCTTTCTGTAGACGACTTACGGAGAACAAGAATAGTGGCGCGTGCCTCCTGTTTTACAACGTGCCCATGGCGCAGAGCATGCACCTAAGCACTATAGCGAATCTAAATGTTCCAGAGCTAATTCCTTTGCAGACGACTTAAATACAGAGCGGGGTATTGTAAGCAGTAGAGTAGCCTTGTTGCTACCATCTGCTCAAATTAAACCCTTGTTCTAAGATTTCTTGCACCTTCCTTTTTTACAGAGTGATTTGTACATCCTAGCTCCTTACTTATACGAGGGCATACACGTGTACCGCGCCGTAAAGACCTTGCTAATTATGAATCGTACGACTGTACTCTTTTTCAACTCAAACAACCAAACATCCTCCGCACTCACTCGAGACTTGATACTACTCATGGGTCGGAGGATGTTGCATTACCAGAGAGGCTAGGTCGGAGGATGTTGCATTAGCAGAGAGTCTAGGTCGCAGGATGTTGCGCCGGTTAAAGCGATGGGGTAGTTTGAAGCTATGTATGTGAAACGTCGCTTTATAAACTTGAGTAAGAGTTAGCAACGCTTTTAGCTCGACGTGATGGGGGGGAATGATTGGCTCAGTTTCTTTTCACGAACGAGAAGTTTGATGCTTCCTTTGCCACCATTGGGCAAATAGGTTTTAAGGGGGCTTTGTTAGTTTTTTTTTTAAAAATCTCGGTTTCATGGAATGTTGTGTATCATATCCCTTGGGCAAGGTTCTAAGCAAGATGTGAGGAATGTATTGTGGCGTCCTTTTAATGCTACTCGATACAATCGGCCTTTCCAACACGGGTCGTTTCTGCTGTGTGGAAAAAGAGCACGATGAAAGACGTTGCAAAAAGATTATAGTTATTATTTGTACGATCAAACGGCTCCTCTCGAGTTTCTTTTTTTGTAAACTATTGTCGTTTAAATTTGTTGTTTCAAAAATATTGCTATAATGGATAACTATTAACAATGGATCTCTTGTCTCGTGCATTGATGACGAACGCAGCCAGCTGCAATAATACGTAGTGACCGTAGTGTGAATTACAGAATTCAGCCTACCATCTGTTGGATTACGATTGAACGCCTCTAAATCAGAATTCGAGCTAGAACGCAAAGATTCCTTTCTCTGGACCACTACGCGAACGAGAATAGTGATGCGACCCGTCGTGCCTCCTTTTTTGTGTCACTAAGGTGCCCATGGAGCAGACTATGCACCTAAGCACTACAGCGATCAAAATCTAAATTTTCCAGAGCTTAAATCCTTTGCGGACGACATAAATAAAGAACGAGGTATCGTAAGTAATATAATAGTAGAATATCCATGTTGCTATGATCTGCTGAGATTAGTTCTAAAGATTTGTTGCATCTTATTTGAACATCCTCCCAACTTGTTACCTACGCGAGGGAATGTGTACCCCGCCGTAAAGACCTTGTTAAGTATGAATTAAACGACTATACTCCTTTTCAACTTGAAACAACCAAGCATCCTCCTTACTGACTCTCGAGACTTGATACGGCTGGGTCGGAGGATGTTGCATTACCAGAGAGTCTTGGTCGGAGGATGTTGTGGCGGTTAAAGCGACGGAATATTTTGAAGCTATTATATGTGGAATGTTGGTTTCATAAGCTTGAGTAGGAGTTAGTAATAAAACAGTTATCAAATGGTTTTCTGTGCAGGACTGCGTGATCCATGCACGAGGGATGTCGCGATACTTTCGGAAAGCGTAAAAATACTCGAGCCGCAGGCGAGTGACAAATTTAATACGACAAATGCATTTGATCAAAAGCTAGTATATATGCTAAGCTTTTGTTAAAATGCATTTGTCACAATAAATTTGTCACAAAGAATCATCTACACGAGCAAAATATCTTTGACATATGAAATTTGTCAAATAAAATTTGCTCGTGTAAACGGGGTTTAAAGCATATTACTGAGTGGAGGAAAAGAAACTAACAAAGATTCCCCCAGTAATGGCGAATGAAGAGGGAACAGCTCAACTTGAAAATCTCCGTTGTGTTGCAACGGCGAATTGTAGTTTCGAGAAGTAATTTCCCGGCGCATCGAGTTTGGCTAAGTTGGTTGGAACAGCATGTCATAGAGTACGTGGCAATGCCCGAGCCCTCGCGATGTGCTTTCTAAGGGTCGGATTGTTTGGGAATGCAGCCCAAAACGGGTGGTAAACTCCATCTAAAGCTAAATACAAGCATGAGACCGATAGCGAACAAGTACGGTGAGGGAAAGATGAAAAGGAGTTTGAAAAGAGGGTTAATACGTACGTGAAAACGTTGAAAGGGAAGCGAATGGAGTAAGCAATTCGCCCTGCCAGGATTCAGTTGCTCGCACATAGCGACGTACGCGCCCTCGATCTACATGGACAAGACGACTTGTCGACGGGCGACAAGGACAGGAGGAAGGTGGACAGGACATACCTAATTTTAGTGTGCAGTGATAACCAATTTGTGCAGTGATAAAAGTAAAATGTGCAGTGATAAATTGTAAAATGTGCAGTGATAAAATTTGCTTTGATAAGTTGTTAATTAACACAAGAAAATGAGACAATGTCAATGAGCAGAAAAACTGAACTAGTCCGGCGAAACATTTTGAATGAGAATGATTTAATTGAAATTGAAATGATGACTGTCAAATTATCGAACGTCCGCACTAATAACATACTTATGGTTCATCAGATGAACAAAGTCTCTCACCAAAGATCTCTTTATGGGTTTGGAAGATGGAGTGAATGATACTTAAGATTTTGTAATTACTGTATAATTTTCAGAATTCTGTAGAATGTCCCCGCGCATTGCAGGAGATGCCCTTTTATAGTGCTAGATTACAAAATTGTCTGTAGGTGCATGTCCCTGGAACTCCTCTAGAGATTTGTCATGCCAAAGCCCGTAAGCCGCCTTTCATTTGCCAAGAGGAAAATATTTATTTTCTTCAGTCGTGTTATTATGAAACTAGGCTGTCATAGATAGTCGTAACTGCAGGTGCTGTCAAGGACGCCCAGAGGGGTGCAATTTGTCCTGGGACCCGAGTTAAAGGGGGCCTAAATAAAGAATTGCAGTGAAATATACCGCATAGATATAACTGTCAACTAGACTTTCAGAATGCAGGATTTGACCATTTCTGGGACCTCTGATTTAAAAAATTTTCCGGGGGACCCCCTAATCGTAGTGTTAGAACATGGAATTGTGAGAGCCCCCAAGTCAAAGTTTGTCCTGGGCCCCCAAATTCCCCTGATTGCTGTGCAGTGTATGTTCGTTTTGTCATTTTTGAATATGAATTGTAGCTTGCTTTGTTATCACACATTATTATACAGGGTTCGTAGTCTCCAAGACCAAAAAAATTCAAAGACTTTCAAATATTTTTTCTGCCTATTTTCAAAGACTTTTCAAAGACCTTTGAAAGCAATAAGCTGTCGAAAAATTGCGAGTGTAAGCACCATTTGTACCCAGTAATTATAGTCCCATCAAATCACATCCTAAAATGCGCATTTTCGTGGATATTTGCGAAAATCTTGATTCAATCAATCAATTTTATTAGCTAGGAAATCGTATAATCAATTCCTCACTAAAGAATTTAAAGACTTTTAAAGACTTTCTTCGCTTTTTCACACAATTTAATGACTTTTCAAAGACCTCAAAGACCTGCATTCCAATTTAAAGATTTTCAAGGATTTCAAAGACCGCTACGAACCCTGTTATTAGGGTGTGTTCAGGAATTTTCAGGGCGTGTTTCTGCTCGGCTGAACTTTGCACAAAAATGTGCAGTGATAAAAAATTCCTAAAATTAGGTATGGGACAGGAGGAAGGTGGACTGGCCTTTACGGTTCGTTGTTTCATTCAGTAGAAATTTTTGGCCGGATAATTTTTTGGTTCAGTCCTGCAGATTAAACCTGGCGACCAATCAATGCCGTATTATCATCCTCACATGAATTAAAATAACTAAATAATACCTGTAATAAAATTTACAAAATGGAGGATGTGAGACTGAAACGAGCTACATTTTTCCCGATCCGATCATTGAACAAAAACCTCCGATCCGCTGCTACTTTTCCGGAGTGGAAACTAGGACAACTGAAATTGCCTAAATAACCTTCACACCACTAAGTACAATAAATCACTACGAACATACGACGGACTGACTCACTTGAATTTTCCCCACTCTCAGAATTAAGTATGTTGTGGGCTAAAAAAGTGTTGTTCAATAAAAAAGTATGATGTTAATATAACCAACCTGTCAAAACACAAAACGTCTACACCCATCTCGCGTTGTTTTTTACGTATTTCTTTCTTATTATCATCCTCACCCCATGTAGATAAAACCAAATTTCTTTTCTTTATTTCATACAAAACTCCCGGGTTCTGAATAATGTGATCACAGAAGCAAGATAATCCCAGAATCTTTTCTGACTCGGCAAAACCAACAACCCTGCCGAGAGTCCTTATCCTAATATCCTTATACACTGGATATTTTCTCGTTTCCCCACAAACGCCAATCTTAACAGGTAATTTCTTTTGTTTCCGATTCAATCTACATCAAAACAAAGCTAACGTCATAAGTAAACCGTTTTGAAACGCTTCCTAAAACTAAAACAGTTCCAAAATACTTTAATTACTGATTTTTAAATGGGCGTTATCTGTTTTTTCGCCGTTCTTTGTATATATTTTATTATTTTTGGTGTCACAAACTAGCTTTCCCACAGGACATCCCTGAATGAAACGCATTCGTCAAAGAGAACCCTTGCTCCGGAAATTTAAGGTAAAGTAATACGGGCAACAAAATTGTAGCAACTTGCAATACAATCTTATTTCAACACATGTTAATTGAAATGTTCACACACAAGTTGCAACACCCGAGACAACATTAATACAAATTTCCAATTAACATGCGTTGGAATCAGATTGCTGCTCGTCGGAATCAGATTTTGTTGCTCGTATTACTTTACCTTTACCTCTACGCGTTTATCATATAAAACATCATGTCACTGTGCATAAAACATTACCTTTTAATTGATTTTCTCGTCTAGGGAATGTTGCATGGTTTTCAAAATAAAAGCCATTTAAAATATTCGAATGACGTCCGTGGTACAAATAATTTTGAAAGCTGATTTGAAATTTTTAACCAACAGCACTCTCAGATATTTTGTTAAAAATTATCCAAACATTTTCCCAAATTGAAAACTCAATATAAAATCAGTCTCATACTCATTAACTATATCACATCGTGAAATCAAAAATCACTTTATGTTCAAGCTTCTTTGTTCAAGCGGCAGAGTATTAGTGTTTGGAGGCAGGTGCCGTTTGTGGTCCAAGGCTGCCACTAGACTTGATGGCATTTGGTATTGCCATAGCAGCTGCGCAACAACAATGATAGCAACAATCAATAATATTAGCAGCAAAAGGAGATAGCCATGACAATTCTGCCAAGGCATACCTACGAAATGCAATGTATAGTGGTCTATACATCCTATTTTATGTGAGATTAAAAATTATATAAAATAAAATGAAATATGTACTACCAGATAAAATCCTTTAGAATGAACATGGGTGGGTGGGTGGGGAAAAGGTATCGAAGCGCTAAACTTGCTGCAGCTAGGCAAAGCATACAATGGCAGAATGAATACCCAGACCGAAGCACTGATCACAAGGCGCGAAACAACCCCCTTTGATCGATATGACGTCACAGACTCCCCTCAGCGGATGTAGCCTGCATAATACATCTGCCGTTAACCTTGCTTAAATGTATTTAACCACATCAAGATAGCTGATGTAATAATACATTGTCAATTTATCTCTGCAATCCGTAAATACTTATTTGCATACAGCACACAGAAGACAAGATAAATCCAGACTATTTCACATCCGAGACCAGGATTTAGTTGCAACATTTACAACCAAATGGATACCAGACCAGGTTATTAAGCAAATTCCTTCAAATTTAATTGCACCTCCCCCCCCGTCATTTTCTTGAAAAAGTTTAATAGCCCCCCCCCTTCTAGTCATTTATTTATACATATGGCCTTCCTTATTTTTTCCCTCCCCCACTTCCATAAATAATGACCGGTCCCTTAGCATCAAAATTTCATTTCATGTAAAAAAATTATTTAAAATGAAGCCGAAACAATCCCTCCCATAAATTTGCTGTTTTCCACCCTTTTTCTGCCCAGACAGAAAATTCATGGCATTTTCTAGGGTGTTCCCTTTGTGTAATACATGCCATATATTTAAACCCAAGACACCACTTACAATTGAACGATAACTGGTGAAAAACTCATCAAAATTATTTTCCTGTTTCCGATATTTTCTATGAGAGATTTCAGCAAAGTATCAACATAAACATTGACGTCGAGAAATTTACCATCTTCCTGATCCTAAAATGTAGAAATTGTGAAATTATTCATATATCAACAGTGGTTTGACATGAACCAGTCAAAATCTTGTTTCTATATAACCGATTGCAACAGAAATTCTCCGCCATATTAAAAACCATTGTTGTCTTCATAGGAGTTATTGTTGCCGAGCGAAGCGAGGCGGCACACTAATGTCGACCCACAGTAATGTAGTCACTTTATGACGTAAAATGACGTAGCTATTGCAAAATGGCATACACAGGGATTTTACGAAAACAATCCGAGTAGAATCGAATAACTGTGTCGGAATTCGAAAACATGCACCGCATGAACGATGTAATTTTGTGGTCTCCAAGCAGTAAGCAGCTTTTTCGTGACGTCACCGAGTACATGTTACGAGAGTTTCAAAGTTGATCGTTTGAGTAAAATTGTTTACTATGTAATATCGTCTACTTGTATTATAAAATATATAGAAAAACTCGTCTCGTGCGTTTACGGCGTGATAATGCACTCGGGGAATGTTGGAAGAACACTCAAGAAGCGTGTAAAACACTGGGCTACGCCTCGTGTATGTAGCCTATATAGGCGTAAAAATATTGGTAATATAGAGGAAACAGAATAGTATGTTAAAATCTTACCAATTTAAAGCATTCAACTGTCTTGGTGACCTAATAGTCCTAATTCAACCTGATTCGTTCTTTCGTTGTTGTTGCACCAACAAAAATACGTTAATTGATAAGAGGAAGTCCAGAGTACAACACAACATGAAAATTGCCAGAAATATTATATGCCCATTCATCACGCAACCGCCATTTTCAAACTGCTTCCACACTGAACTATATAGCATACTTGCAAAATCACCCATAATATCCACAATGTGTACAAGGAAGCACAAGCTTACGTTGCGATTTAGGTTACTGTGGAATGTTCATTTTGTGACATCGTAAAAACAGACAATTAGCACTTTAACGTTCTTCGGGCTAGGCCCGACGGAAAAATAGTGGCAATAATGATATAACAGTAACAAAGATGATGATATTGGATGCACGATAAAAATAAATATAAGAAGAATAAAAAGAATAATAATAAAGTAATAAACTTTGATGCTTGTGATGTTACTTTGAGTGTACATCCACACCGGGCAAGCTTGAAAGATATGCCTGACCACGGTGGGAATCGAACAAAGGTCGTAGGTTCGATTCCCACCGTGGTCAGGCATACTTTTCAAGCTTGCCCGGTGTGGATATACACTCAGAGTAACATCACAAGCATCATACTCACCTGAGTACATTACACCAACACAGAAAAAATATTAATAATAAACTTTATTTTGAAGAAGGTTCAATACAAAATCAGTTCAGTAGAGCTTATCCTTACACTTAAGAATTATGTGTAACATTATCTCTGGGCATGAATTAGGTTTTGCCACCGGAGGGAATATGACTAAATCATATCGAAGGCAGTGACACAGCCTGCATGCCTGAGGCGTTTAATTGAAAACTATTTTCCAACATACCTTCTCTGTTTCCAGGTACTTTACTTCAAGTTCGAAAGGAAAATTTTCAGGCAGGGCATTTAGTACCTAAAATATTAATTCCGAGTGAAAACAGCACAACATTTCACAAACCTTATACTTTCTCGAAATTGTACTGGCACTGAACAGTCAATTTTAAAATAAACACGAGTAGGTGTAAGACCGCGAAATTAGAGTTTGTAAACATTAAAATTAAAGATCACCCAATCACCCATAGTTCTATCACTGCAGATCTGATCCTCATGGGCAAACTGATCGTAATATGTGGCGAATTCGTCTTACCTCTTCAAGTGTGGGAAATAACTTCAGCGGGACACCATTGCGATGCTGTAATTCACTATTTAACTCTATGAAAATGAAAATAAAACTATGGTAATTAGCAAGATGGAGTAACATGTAGCAAGTATAATAGAAAAATATGATCTGAATCCTTTTACACATTCTGCCTTGTTCTTTTCCGTCTCCAATAGATTATAAAAACATGGAAAACGTCCTTTCATATATGGTAATGCAGCGGAATCCACACGTTTTAGACGGGTCCAAAATACGATAGTATAGGGCTTAACTATTCTGCAACAGTAAGACTTCTGAATCAGTTTTGTTTGACTGAAGGTCGCCATGTAGGGAAAAAACATTATGTTGCTTCAGATTGGTTACTTTAGATTATGTATAAAACAGTAAGATCCCTGTAAAAAATGACAGCATATACACTTCTTCGCTCAAGACGAAATAATAGTTTCACGTTTTGCATGTATAGAAACCAAGTGCATCTGTGGAAAACATGTTCAAATAATAAATTAATAAATGATGTAGAAAAAGTGTTAAACAGTGGTGGATGAAAACTACAATAGAGACCTTATTAAAAACGCAAAGTAACATATTTTATTAGTATTTTTGCACAAGTGAATACAACAAATTGTGCAAGTTGACCGGCCAAATTTGATGTATTAAGCTGTTATACATTGGCAAAGCCAGCCCGACAATTTGGTCATACAATGCAAATTTTAAATTATTATCATTATTCATTTCTTTACAAATTGATTGTTTACACAGTCTATGAACAGGGAAATATTTGCATAGCATCACCAAATTGTCGGGCTGGCTTCGCCACTGCTGTTATATTCACCTTGTTGTTTTGCGATTATGCAGGATAGGATATAATGCATTATTATATATCAATAGTCAAAGTCGCATTTTTCTAATGTTTTATTGGTTGAGAGCATATCACGTGAGAGTGACGAAATTATGCTGTCTCCCTCGCAACAGCGCGAGAGGGAAACAATACGTTATCGACCGGCGAATAATAAAAAAAATCACGTGCGCCATCACGTGAAGATGCGACCTTTGGACATGCCTAGTACGTAATTAAAACTTTCGCTTTAAGTAACTGCAGTGTAGCCAGTGTTTAATATAACGTTTTAACAATAAAATATTTCATGTATTTACGTTCATTTATTCTTTAATTTGTTGTTTCTTTGACTATTGATATATAATAAAACACTTATTTACTGAGACCTCGGAAAAGCAATGTGTTTTGTGGACCCTCGACTGTCGATGTTGGACGGTCTCGGGTCCACAAAACACACTGTTTCCCTCGGTCTCAGTAAATAAGTGATAATTATTTACTCGTTCACATATAGCAAAAGCGATCTTTTTCAAATTTGGTACAAACATCATGATGAATGAAGAACTTACCAATTAATTCTGTATGAATAATCTATAAAAAGAAAAAGAAGAGGAAGTTCATTGATTTTCTTTTCATCAAAAGTATCGTCATCAGTCAAAATATGATGCCATTAAAATATTCTTAACATATGTGGCGAAAATTAGAAATATTTTTATAAACTTGGCAACATATGGTTCATTATATACTTTAGTATACACTCAACGAAGGAGCATTACAAATCCAGCATTTTGCAATGGTTTCGAGGGAATTTTGTTGGAAATTCTTTCCCCGAAGAACAAGTGGTTAGCGCGAAGTGGTTAACGCACTTGCCTTTCACCTATGAGGTCGCAGGTTCAAATCTCCAAAAACAACTTTCCTTATAGCTTGCAAGTTTTTCGATAAAATCTTAATGTTAAAATTTTTCCATGCATTTTTGGAGCATTGTTTTTCACAGCTATTTTTTCATGTATTTCATCGATTTCAACGACATTAGGATTGTTTTTGCGTGCATTTTATACTTCTTTTTAACATAACCAAGTGCAACATTTCGGGAAACCATATTGTTTACAGTGGACTTTTAATTTTTGTTCCGTGCTCTTATAATTATCAAAACTTCCCATGTATTTTTCCTCAATATCACGACTGTTATACGGCCAGTTTTAAAATATTTTCAAGGCTCACGAGTTGTGTTTGAAATTCTGCTTGGAGTTTGTGATGTGAGTAGGATTGTATGCTAAAACAATTAGACAACTCGGCCTCGTTGTCTATTAGGGAACTATTCGCTCATAGACAACTCCGGCCTCGTTGTCCAATTGTGCTCTGCGCGCCATTTAACAATTGGACAACTACATAGTGAGATGCTATATTAATCCTCGTTTTCTGGGTGATACAATCTGGCTATTCCACAGATCACCTGCACAAAATGCAATTTCATTGTTCTACATCTAGGTTATCTGCTTTATAATCTATAATTAGGGTAAATTTCTCCCTTCTTATGGATAAATCAGGACAATTAAAGACAGTTCTGCTGAACTAACATTTAAATATGTTGGGAATTGGTGACAACGTAAATGTTTGCTGGTTTAAACTTTGCATGAGTGAAGACATGGAGGACAGAGTAAACATCTTGGAGAAAATTTCTAAGAAGTATAAAGGTATAAGAGAAGTAGGAGAGAGATATTTCAAGGGGACTAAGTAAACTATCACCGTTATTTTTTGTCGTTGTGCTAATTCCAGTGACGCTAATAAAGATTGACAATGTTACCTGCACATCCTGCAGCTCTTCATACGTCAAGTCATAAACAGGTATTTTGCGCGAACATTTAGTATCATTCTGAAAAAAAAACATAACAATTATATAATAAGGCCTACTTTGGGGGCCAAGGTCGCCTAATGTCACCTAATTTCACCTAATGTCACCTAATTTCGCCCATGTGCACCCGATTTTTGAACTTTGCCTAACAGTCTATTCGCTTAATGTCGCCTAATTTCGCATAATCTCGCATAATCTCGCACAAGCATGCCCAATTTTGCACTTTGAGTTTGTCGTCCATTCTAGTCTATCCTTATTTATTTGTTAGTTTCCTGCATGTTTTTTTTTTATAAATACATGTACACAAACACCAAGGGCATGTGCTGTTAGGGCACCATCTCTCACCAGTACTAATGAGGCTTGGTTATTTGGGGTTTATATGTATATGGAATTACAACGCATTATTCCAATGAGAATTACCTAAATTATGTTATTAAGGCAGCCTTCTGGCTATCTTCTCCAATGTGTTTCTTTGTGAAACTCAGTCAAATTAGACAATCACACGCCATTAAATGTTGTATATGAAATCAAACTTAGATCTTATTATCAAAGATACATTCATGATAACTGGCGAGTGCTAAAGTACAGAATACCTCTCACTAGCCTAGTGAAGTACACTAGGTATCCTAAAGGCCGAAACAGTACCGTCTGTAGTTATATATGTACTATTTAAAATACTCATTAATAATTCATAAACCTTGTGGCAAATCATGTCAGCCATAATATGTCACGTGGAGTGACTTTATATCTGATAAAACACATGTGGCATTGTATAATTGTTCATCCTAATTAGCATTATTATAATGGTTCACCCTAATTAGTATTCTTTTGTAGTCGTATTTTAAGCTATTCAAAACACTCGTTGTCGTGTTTTATCAGATATAAAACGCTCGAATGCGCCTCGCATTTTATATCTGATAAAACACTCCTACTGCTGTCTCGTGTTTTAAATAGTACATATATAGACTATAAATAAAGAAAGTCATCTATAGTATGTTCAAAATACGACTTTGTAGTTTGTAAAATAAAATTACTTACTTTTCGACGAAGCTACGATGATCGACATCTCATAATTAGGTATCATCGCAAAAGATACAGAGCAATGAATGCACCACAGAAAGATCTACGGTACAGGTTATTATAAAATGTCGCCAAGGCCCGCCATAATCAATTATTATGTTTCCTTACACGAAGTAGTACAAGTTAGAAGCTAAACCATTAAATTAGATGTGCCGTGGTATTGCGGGCTCAAATCCCAGCCGCCATTTCTTTTTAAGCATTTTTTTTATATTAACGAATACACGAATATAAACTTTTGTGAATTCAATTCTTGTTTCTATTTATTAATTTATATCTGATTTACTTACTTACTAATATAAAACCCAATACCAAACACCACGATGTAGTAATGTACGTACACAGTACACTTGAACATATTAACTTTATAATTTATACTGTAACTACAAGAAAACTATACTAATAAAAAGTTTGCAACTGTTGAAAGCCTCTCAACTAACGTTTAAAGTTAATATGATTGGTTAAAACACCAGCTTATTGGCTTACATTTAAGCGAACAAATTTATTAGCACCTTGCCCACTTCCATCATTGCATACCACAGTCCATAAACAGGTTTTAAAACTCTGAGGTGTTTACACCAGTCAATTTAATAAGAAGTCAGAGTTCCATGATACTGTAAATGTACCATGCACTGGGCATGTATGTGTACTACGGTATAAACTTTGAGTAAATTGTCAGGCTAGCAGTTAGAGAAATGTTCCTTGTTCATATTTTTGCAAACTATTTGTAATAAACTAATTGTGTTCCTTGCCACAGGAACCAATTTTTGATAACTAAATTATATTTTGATATTTACTGTTGTATTTTTTATGTAGATGCATAATTTGTGAATTATAATATTTGACATTATCTGGATATTGCTGTTCAGTTTTGTCCCATGTCGCCCAGTTTCGCCCAGCGTCGCACACTACTTTTCTTTGAAAATTGCCAATGTCGCCTAATGTCGCACAATGTTGCACATAATAACGGCGACCTTGGCCCCCAAAGTAGGCCTATAATATAATAGTTTTGTTTGTGGAAACACCACGTAAATTTATTACTGCAAAGCTTTCGATCCGTAAGCCCGGATCTTCATCAGTGCTAATAATATGTGACTTGTTTAATTCACACGCTCTCGAAACTTAAGAGCAGATAAGTCAATACATATTTTAAAGGCTGATAAGGGTAACGCTACGGTTATCTGCAAAGGAAAAAGCGGATGGCTTTAACCATTTTTTTACGTCAGTCTTCACCTCCGACACAAGTTCTTCACCTCTTTTCACTCCCTCTAGTTCAGCTTCTAACTCTCTTGACTCATTAAATGTATCTGTATCCGATGTTCAGTCTTTGTTTCCAACTTGTCACCCTCTAAGGCTACTGGTCCTGATGGTAATCCAGCTTACCTTCTAAAGCGATGTTCTGAGGTAATTGCCCCTTCTTTGACTGCTCTCTTTGAGTTATCCCTTCAGCAGGGTGTTTTTCCTTCTGAATGGAAAGCTGCCAATGTCGTGCCCATACCCAAAAAGGGTGACACTCATGAGGTCACTAACTACAGACCAGTTTCCTTACTCTCTCAAGTCTCGAAAGTTCTCCAACGTTTAATTTTCAGTCAGGTTTCTTCTTTTGTTGAAAACTCCTTGTACGACCTTCAACATGGCTTTCGCTGTAAAAGGTCGTGTGTTACTCAACTTTTGAGTGTACTTCACGACCTTGGTCGTACTCTTGACTCTGGAAAGGAAACAGACCTGATTTATCTCGACTTTGCTAAAGCGTTTGACTCGGTGTCCCATAGCAAACTTTTGTTCAAACTTAAATCGTTTGGAATCTCAGGTCCACTTCTTAACTGGTTTGCTGATTACCTTCGTGATCGCAAACAGTGTGTTGTCGTTGAAGGAGCTTCCTCATCTTTTCTTAATGTTACCTCTGGGGTGCCACAAGGCAGTGTAATAGGTCCTCTTTTATTCATTCTTTATGTAAATGACCTTCCAGAGGTAACCAATAACAGTACCGTTGCACTTTTTGCTGATGACAGCAAGTGTTATCGTGCTATACGATCACCAGTTGATCGTGGTCTCCTTCAGCTTGACCTGGACGCTATGTCCAACTGGTCACTTAACTGAAAAATGAAATTTAATGTCTCGAAGACGCTCCTACTTAGGATATCCCGCAAACGTAACCCTCCAACTCATTGCTACTTTCTTAACAACGATCCAGTTAAGAGCTTAGCTAACCAAGTAAACTTGGGTGTTGTGATCAGCAATGACCTAAAGTGGTTCCCTCACATCGCCAGCTGCACTGCAAGAGCCAATCGCATGCTTGGTTTTCTTCGTAGGAATTGTACGCAAATGTCTGATATTCGCTGCCGTAGGCTTCTTTATCTTGCTCTCGTCCGATCTCATCTGTCATATGGTAGTGAGATCTGGGCACCCCAAGGATCGTCACGTGATCTTGCGATCATCGAGGGTGTTCAAAGACGAGCTAGTAAATTTATCCTTCAGGATTATGAGTTGCCATATCCTGAACGCCTTAAGAAGCTTAATCTATTACCAATATCCTACTGGATGGAACTAAAGGATCTCGTCTTCTTTTTTAAATGTAAGCACGGTCTCTCGACCTAGATATCTCCTCTTTCGTCACTTTTACTTCAAACAGCTCGTCTCACACCCGTTCAAGTTCGGACAACTTGCTTCATGTTAATCATTGCAGGACTTCTCTCTTTAGGAACTCTTTTTTCAACCGAATTGTCTTTCTCTGGAATAACCTCTCTCCCACCATTCGTAATAGTTCATCCGTTTCCTCCTTTAAAAACAGACTAACTGTTCATTACTCTTCTCTACTTCATTCATCTTTCGATGTAAACAGAATGCGCACTTGGAAAACCTTCTGTTCTAAGTGCCGCTCTTTCAACTTAAGCTGTTGTTCGTAATTAGTCATGTTTTCTGTAAATTGTATATTTGTTCTCGTCTTTGATTTATGTTTGTTATAGTTTGTTTTCATTAAGGTTGGTCTGACCACATGGGGCTATTCATGTCCTGTTGACCATACCTTCAACCATATTATGTAGTGGATTAATCTATTTTATGTTTGGTTGTAAAGTTAATAAATAAATAAATAAATAAGTGTCAAGAAAATATTATTTCGATTTTGAAAATCAAATTCCAACGGTCGTTGATATTTATATCAAGCCAATCAGAATCTATTAAGTTTAGTCGTGACCAATGAGAATCAACTACCCACATCTTGGTAGCGCTGCTGGGGGGGTCGACAAGCAATGCTACGAATTTTCAGACTGTTTTACAGCATAATATAGTCTGTACACAGGCCGTATAATAATGAAGATGAGAGTGAAAACAATATAGGCGTTAATCATACCGCATATGCATTTACCTTTGTTTGTAAGGCAACATTCAGATACAAATCATGATAAATAATAGGTTGGAGATCTTTTGTTACGTGAACATCCAGTTCCAAACCATCAGCACCCTACATTTGGAAACAAATGTTAGACAGGTGATTGTCTCGAGAGAAAAGAAATAAAAGTTATTCGTTCCATATACAATTCTTGAGAATTTAAATAATGGCCGATGAAAGCGGCCTTTATTCATCTGTGAAAGCGATATGAAAGGGGAATGAAAAAACGTGGTAAGCCTAGGTGCCAGATGAGTACTACCCCATTCCCATATTAAATAGCCATAAGTTATATAATTTTTGAGTGCATGGTTAAATTTGTCCAATGTCGAATTTTAGATATATGATCACTACGGTGATTTCATTTTTTTTATTATAAGTTGTTCAATATTTTCATGATTTATTATTTTATTATTATGTCTACAGAAAAATCGCAGCAGAGCATTGACAAAACAACTAATAACGCAGCGAGAGGCATTTTGGGCGCATAAGTTCTACCATGGCTAAGGGTTAAATGTGCGGTATTGTCTTCGATTTCTTTCTTGATAAAGGCTTGGCCCAAAACATAGGATGAAGAGAGTGATATGTAATTTATAAAATATGGTTAATACACCCACAACATGCACCATTCATTATCCCCAAACAAGCGCGTCATATCAAACGCGTTTATATATATATATATCCTGCATGACAGTGCATGTTTACTTAATTTACATGTATATATATACCAAAAACCGGTATACTTATGATCATGGTAAATATACAAATATGGTTATATATACACCGACAGCACCATTACCCCTAATGTGCGCTTTAATGAAATGTGTAAGGGACCATATACCCACGCATTATTATCCCAAATATTTGTCTGAAATGTCTATAATCAAATGCGTATTTACATAGAATCAACTTTATATAATCATGTTTAGTGTATATATACCGAAACCTGGCATATACAGCCTCGTACCCAGGCGCAAATAACGTACTAGAAATAGCAACACTACAGTGTTTTTATATAGATCAGTGGCTAAGATAGCGAGCGCGTGGGGGTGCTTGGGCAGGACGCGGGAAACGAAGCGCCTGGCAGAATTTGTAACAAACATGGCGGACATGAGGATGCAAATGAGGAAATTGCTGTACTATACTAAATGAAATTGAAAGGCGTGCCCAACGAGTGGTACATTTGGGAAAGATTTTATGTCCAAATGATCACTGCGTTGATTATACGGATTTTTCCTCGAAAACGGTATTATATTAAAGGTCTCCTCAGGAGACCAGCCTCTCGAAATTAGAAAGTCTGCTGGCTGCTGGTCATGAGAGAAATCAAGTTCATTGAACATTCTAAAAAAATAACGATTTATTTCAAATGGTTGAAAATATATATACTGCCTTTTTGCAGCTTGAAAGAGAAACTGACCAAGCAAAGTCAAAGAAACAGGCTTATTCTTGAATCTTGATTTTAATATAAATATTTAATACATTGAATTTATATGGAATGTTGAAATTACTATTTATTTGTACTGATGATACCTTTTACCTCAGAGGAGAAAATTAACTAGAAAATATTTTATTGTAGGTTTCTTAGTTTCTAAAATTTTACCAATAAAAAGGCCTATATTAAAATTAAACATGCATGAGTTCTTTTTAGTATGCAAAATATGGTGAAGATATAAACATTTAATAAATTAATATAAAACCTCATTTGGCCATTTAGCTATTGTTGTAACTAGCTGACAGTAAGTTTAAAGGCTAAAGCACAAACCAACCCAGTGTTTTATACTTTGATGTGTATTTTATGCTTCACCTTGTGTTTGACCTATGAAGACTATTATATTGGAGTATTGCCCTTGATTGCAGAATCCCGTCGTGTCCTGCCCAAGCACCCCCGCTATCGTAGCCACTGATCTATATAAAAACACTGTAGTGTTGCTATTTTTAGTACGTTATTTGCGCCTGGGTACGAGGCTGTGGCATATATATATATATATATATATATATATATATATATATATATATATATATATATATATATATATATATATATATATATATATATATATATATAAGAAGGCCTGGTACGAAACTCAGTCACTGCATGGCTTACCTGAAAATTGTCTACAAATCTTCTTTAGTTCTAATTTGACCCATTCTAACACTAGGTGGTCATGAATTTGCGCGATAAAAGAAGGCTTGAAGAAGTGTTGCGATGTCCGCCACTTACGTATAGTCACTGGCTTTTCGCATTGCGTGAATCTGAATCTGAATATAATAACTATCCTATAGAGCTTTTGCACTCATTCCCCAGGGACCAACTCAACAAAAGCTATGGCGGCCATGTTGGTGTTCTAGACAAAAGAGTCTAATTAAAATTCTTTTGAATTGGAACACCAACATGGCGGCTGTGACGTCATGAGCAAACGCTCTATTGGAAATTACCACCCTCGCTAGCTCGCAAGCAGGCAGGCGAGGGGATGAGATTGAAGATGTGTGGTTTACATAAATTCTATGATCATAACATATATCTCTTTTTAAGGAAGGTTAGGATTAGGGACATACAGGGTTAGGATAGCAAGCAATAAACTGCGAGACACGAATCTATGATACTTTCAGGATTTCCGCTGGTAGCTACTCATGCGGTCGCGATGTCAGCGATTTCTGGCGATGTCTAAAGTGCAGTTATTGATGAAAGGGCTTGACATTGTCACTTACCTTTTCATAGGCCATAAGAAACGATTCAATCGTGTTCTCTTGACAACCAACTCTTTAAGAAAGAAATGCATTATTAATGTTTAATGACTTTTAAGTCAAGGTATACTTTGCAACTGCTTATACAGCAACAGCAACAGCAAAAGCAAAAGCAAAAGCAACACCAACACCACAAGCAACTGCAACGACAGCAACAACAACAGCAGCAACAGCAACAGGAACAGCATCAGCGCCACCACCAACACCACCAGCAGCACATTATCTCGGCGACAAATTACGAGCTGTATCAATTGAATCGTCAGATATGGAGCTGGAATTGTGGATTGGATAAGGGAAGAGTAGAAAATAAAGACACTAGATAGAAAGACTAGGAAACTAATGACGATGCATTGAGCACATCATCCAAAAGTCACTCATAAGGGAACTGAACACGGTTGGGATTACAAATATATGCATAGAATAGCATGTAAAATTCACCTCAAAGCTCTAATATATTGTACTATATACAACAAAACCTTAGCTAAACAAAATTTCTTTTTACAAAAAAATGTGTCATGGTTTTAAAATTATTTGCTGTGATCTTTATTTTTAAACCAAGACTTCCGACTGGTGTTTCAATAGCTACAATATTGAAGCCATGAGCTTGGTTGAAGAAGAGAAGTCAGAAGGAAACAGAGAGAGCGTTATAGATCACCAAGTGGGAAAAACCATACACAGAAAATTGCGAGAAAATAGGATTTTATGTGGTATAATCACATTCCTGAGAACGCTCTTGAATCAGAAGTTCAGTGTAAAATTCTTAGGACTTTTCTATCCAAACAGACAATAGCAGATAACAAACCAGATTTTTCATCATCAAACGCGCTGTCGACGTCATATAAACAGACAGATTAGAGACCTTACGATTTTAGGACGGCAACGCGACGGCCAAAACAAACTCCTTCAAATAAATGGTAGTAAAGATAGTTCGTGGTATATTATCAATCGTATGTATTTAATACAGTTTTAGAAGTTGAAGACATGGGTTTTATGGTTGGGAAGAGTTCTGCTAAACCCAGTTTGAAGTTGCACTTGTTGCGGCTTGGAATGCAGCCGTTGTATCAAGACGTGAAAATCTGTGATTTGGCGTTGTAAACAGAGCGAGGACAATGTCTAAATTATTCATATATTGTAATTACTTAATTCTTTTCAATGATCTATTGTATTGGTAGCCGTTGCCGTCGCGTTGCCGTCCTAAAATCGTAAGGTCTCTATTTAGATCGAGGACGTCAAAGACGACGTGGAAATGGCGTCAAAATGGCGTGGCACATCCATACATGGGCACAACACGCCATTTTCATGTACGCCATTTTCATGTCGTCCTTGACGTCCGCGTCCTCCATCTAAATCTGTCTATAATGAAATCGTAGAACCACCTAGCTGCCACGGAAAACTTGCCACGTCATTTTCACGTCCTGATTGACGTCGCGTTGCCCTTGCTCAAGCAGTCTATTGTTTTTATCTTACCCAAAAATAAACAAATAACGATAAAAATACCTTGTTTGGTACATTTACAATAAGAATCAGATAAAAGAAACAAAGCTTCTCAAAGGATAGTGTAAATATACGACGGATTGCAAACTTTTCCAGATACAGTATATTGATCCACTCGGCTCATAAAATGACCGCCAGAAGGAATTTGAGCCCGCAATATCATGGTGTGACATTAATCATCAACATAGTCTTTCAAAACATGGTTTGGAAACGCCGCTAAAGTCTTTGTTCTATCTTTTTGTTCGCGTTTATGCAGTTTTGTGCACGGTGCACGGTCAATGAACACATCGTGTTTCAGTGTAGTGAACGAATCATCCAATAGCAACGTTTCAGTTCAGTCATTCAACCATGCTATTTAAATATTAATAAACCTAAAACAATTAGGATGTGCACAGGGTAAGGAATGGCTCAACATAAACTAGCCTGCGAAAACAGCCTCTACTTTGCTGCTCCTATTAATATAACGTCGCACAAAGAAGAGTCTGCGATTCGAGTGACAACATTCCATACTGATGACGTTAGCGCGACCGGATTTTGGTCGTGCGTTATGATTGGTTTATTCTATAATTTGATATAAATTATGCCAACACATGCAAATCGATTTTGAAATTCAAGATGGCCGGATATGTAAATGTATCCAAATAGAAGACATTTGCATATTATGTTTATATAATTCAGTACCTAGAAATAGGTTTATCGTCAACGGAAAGGACTCGGTGTTAAACACTGCCTCGAAGCTATTCAACAACCTACCGAACAATTGGAAGTGTACACTAACGACCCGTTTTAGGAACATTGCCAGTGGGGATATAAATTTATTTACCTGCCTAAAACTTCTTGAGAAAAGAGACATAATTTTATCAAATTTAACAGAAGTTGAGAACAAGATCCAAGGACATTTTTCCACCAAAAGATCAAGTGAAACAGATCTTGCGTGTCCATGAAAGTTTATCGCACTCAGCGACGATGAGGAAGCGTGCATACCTATTCACACATTACAACCCAAAGCACACAGTACTCCAGTCAAAGTTGTTCCACCTGTAAAAGTTTCGAAAATCAAAAAATCTTTTTCCGAATGCGAAACTGGCGTAAAGGTATGTTCGTGCGGAATTCAGCACATTTTTACATTATATTTTTACCACAATAGGGACACATATAAATATGTGATTATGTATTTCATATTTATTTATAATATAAAGGTTGATCCTCCCTCAGAAAAATATACATTCATATCTTTTTTTTTTAAAACTTTATAGCTTACAGTGAAATGGCCTTCTCAGACCAAAGAACGTACAATTCAACCTGAACTGGAACCCTTAGGCCGTGCCCTCCTTAGAGGGACATGGAAGAAAATTGCGTCAGCTGTATACGGTGTTAAAGAGATTAGATCAGAGCTCATCAAATGCATGTTGAAGCAACTGTCAGTAGAATGCTGTGATGTTTTTTCATCTAAAAGGCCATCCTTACTGAGAAAAACTACTGCGAGTGATATTCGTAAGCTGTCACTAGCCAATATATGCCGAAATGAAGGAGCGTTTGAGTTAGATGTGTTTTTTTGTATACACAAATTGGGCTGTTTACAATAATATACGTAATGTAAATAATACATACAGGGCCGTACACAGGATTTCAAGGCTTCATGCTAGTTAAGAGAGCTCCCCTCTGGTAAGCACTGGAGGGGGGGGGGGGCAAGGGGCACACCTTCCCCCCGTATATTATTGTAAACAGCCCAATTTGTGTATACAAAAAAACACATCTAACTCAAACGCTCCTTCATTTCGTGGCATATATTGGCTAGTGACAGCTTACGAATATCACTCGCAGTAGTTTTTCTAAGTAAGGATGGCCTTTTAGATGAAAAAATATCACAGCATTCTACTGACAGTTGCTTCAACATGCATTTGATGAGCTCTGATCTAATCTCTTTAACACCGTATACAGCTGACGCAATTTCCTTCCATGTCCCTCTAAGGAGGGCACGGCCTAAGGGTTCCAGTTCAGGTTGAATTGTACGTTCTTTGGTCTGAGAAGGCCATTTCACTGTAAGCTATAAAGTTTAAAAAAAAAAAGATATGAATGTATATTTTTCTGAGGGAGGATCAACCTTTATATTATAAATAAATATGAAATACATAATCACATATTTATATGTGTCAC